ATGCTTGTAAGGGGAAAAAGATACTGTATGTGTATTTTATCCTTCATTAGCATTACACAGCAGCAAGCTGTGCCAATGTTATATGAGGTAGTGTATTACGCTTACATAAAGACCCATGAAAAATGTTAATATTCCTGATTTGTTTTTCTTGTATTCTTGCACTTTATGGTTGGTACTATACACTTGCCTATCCTTATAATGTTCCTCCTAAAACATGTTGATAAAAAGAGAAAATTAAGTTGTTGATGGAAATGTTTCATCTTAAATATATATTTAAAAATCAGACAAATATATTATATCCATATTTAATGTTTTGTCTCTGAAGGGTTAAGTTTTGTATGGAAAGTGTTTTATGTGCATGTGCAGTTAGTTGGAATTTTCTTGATAGTGTGTGTTGTAGATATTGATCCACTAACATTGTACATATATAAATGTTGTATAGATTAAAGTAATTGATTGTTATAACATCGCAAAGTCAAGTGTTGCATGGCCAAAGTAACTGCATGTAACTTTGTAATGAAGTCAGTATTTTGGGGAAAAAAAAAAAATGCCATGCTGCAGTACACAAGAACTGTTGCAGTTGCAGTCTATTTTGGTGCAGTGGTCATTAATGGCTACGTCCATAATACTTGGACACTCATTGACTGTGTTGCTTATGTTGTTGAAAATGGATGTGGTATTTTAAAAACTGAAAGAGGACAAGGAAATTTAAATATTTTGTTCTTTTCCCAGGAAGGATTGCCAAATGAGTGTGCAATATGATATTGGTTGTTCAGAGAGTTTATATAACCGTTTAGCCAAAAGATATAGTTTGCTGTATACATATAAAGATCCTCAAGCAAAGCTGAGGTGGAAATTAACAAGTAAATCAATACCATTAAATTTTAGTTGTATTGTGTAGATTGTGTAGTTTTTCATCTTTTTATAATTCATATATACTACTATTTGGTAATCTTTTTTGATCAGAAGCCAAATGAATTCCCATTGTATTTCCATGTCTGAAAAGTATAAACATTGCTCTTCCTTAAATATTACATTCAAGTATAGTCACGTATTGTTGAATGTAGCAGTTACAGAAAGTAAGATATAAAGCTTTGTTTTATCTCAATTCATATTTACCTTGAACCCTTCACAATGGTATGATCTTTACTTATCTTTACAACATTGCATGCTTGGGTAATTATTTTGTTTGTTTTGTGATTGTTTCTCTAAACTTCTTTCATTTAAAATGCCACAGGTAATGTTATAATATAATATAAGCTACCAATATTGGCAGATCTCACTGTAGTCTGCCAAAAGTGCCTTGCCATCTCCAGGAGGATTGTTTGTTGAAAGTAGCTAATACATAGTTCTGTTGTACAAGATGATCCACCTTCTCACTGACAACAATTCTACACTTCTGTAAAACGAAGTTTGAAACAGGAATAAATCCTCAGACACACTTGCCTGAATCATTGCTCAGAGCTCTAGTATTGGTGACTTGTGAAAGATGGATGGTCTCTTAAATTTCTTTTAGTATGGTTCTAAATTTTGGATATTTTTGTGTTAATAAAGTTTATACAGACTTCTCTATACTTTTACTTTTTGCAAGTCCTTTTTTGTGAAGTTCAGGGATATATAAATCTCCATTTTCCATGCCCATATGAATGTCATTTCTAAGTTTCAGTTGTTGTTTTTCCTTATTTGCAATATATGCATTATTATGATCTCTAATCAATGAAAATAAAAATATGTGTTATAGAAGAAATGCATTTGTTATGCATTACTTACAGAAAGGGGATATTACATTAACTATAAGAGGCATTGGTAGGAAAATATTAATTTACATTTATGTTTTAAACTCTTTAAGTGTTTAATTAACCTGGCACAGACATAATAGATCAAAATGTAATTGATGTGGAAGATGAATATAAATAGATAAAATAATAGAATAATATTAATAGTGTTGTACTGATGAGTTCTAGTAGCAAAATTATTCTCGGGTATTGTCAGATGGGATGATGATAACATCAAAAGCTCTCAGGAGTCACATAATACTACTTGATGATATGTTGTAATGATGATACAGTACCAAAAAGCCTGTTGAAAACTAAATTGGTGTTATTTAATACTGAAAATAAGACTAGAGGACAACTAAGGTAAATGTTATAAAGAAATTTAAAACAGCACCACTTGGTATAAGAAGGAATCTGCTGAAAGTAAAAAGCAAAGGTCACATTGATAAATCTGCACCTCTGCTGGCAATTTGTACTTCATTGGATGATATTGCAGTAGGATGGGCCAGTTCCTTTTGTAACCTGACTTTAACCCCAAAAACAACTGCCACTACTCACTCACAGTTGAGTTGACTGAGTGGAGCCTGGCAGGATACATACCAAGGATTTTCCAGCAGCAAAACCTTTAACTCTACGACTAAGCTATGCCAAGTTTGACAGAAGGAAAATATCTAAAACGATCATTGATATCAAGATAACCGAGTTACAAAAAAACATTTAGCCAC